GCCGCAGTTAGGTCTCGACTATTGGGCCAAGTCGAGAGCACTACAACATTGCAACCGCACCTGAATCTATCCAAACCTGTACCCTTTGTGCAGGCGACGCGATAAGATCTCGCCAGCTCGACTAGGAACCGCAGTTCGCTTCTGCCACGTTTTCTGTGTTATTTAACCTCAATTCCATTTTAAATGTTCAATTCTTTATAACTTCTTCTTTATAATTTTGTGAAATTTTAAACAACAAATAATTCTTATGTGAGATAAAAATTGGACATCAAATAATTTATACAATGGAAACATTCATCAACAAAATATTTACAAAACAAAAACTGGCAAAGATTTATGAAAAACAAAAGATCTGGTGTGAAATAGACTTTATGTGGGGTTAAAACTGTAGAGCCTGAAATTTACATTCAATCAAAATTATACAACAAAGAAAATTACTGAAGTTAAAATTGTATTACGTGAAAGTTTGCAAGGTTAACAAAATTTACATGAGATTAATATTTGCCACACTTTATCAACGATTTAAACAAAGAGTTTACATTATATCAAATTATATCATGATCTAAGTGATTGGTTATTTAAAAACAATTTACTTTGAGAGTTTGAAATACCGCGAACTGGTTACCCCAACAAAACACATAATAAACAGACACAAAATTATCCAATCATTGGTGCGAGGAAAAAGCGTCTCGGTGATGTAATTTTATTGTTGCGAGAGAATACCCCGATGATGTATATTTTAGCGTTGCGAGGAATAAGCCTCGTTGATGTTGTCAATCTCTAGCGTTGTCAGGACATGCCTCGATGATGTAATCAATCTTTAGCGTTGCGAGGAAATGCCCCAGTGATGTAATCAATCTTTAACGTTGCGAGGACATGTCCTGGTGATGTAATCATGATAACGATGATAATAATAATGATAACCGCCTATGGGAAGAAATTATTTTAACACCCCGCCAGTTCGCAGAATGAATTTTGTTAATTTAACTGCTGTAAATGAACTACTAGCAATCTTGTGTGAAGAATTAAGAAGTGTTATAATGTAACACTTACGTATATGCATCCAGAAACTTATTTATAATTAAATAACAAAGGTGTTTTCCTGACTAAGTGAATTTCATGAAATCTTCTAGCAAGTGATTCATTTAAATTATCCTGATTGTTAAATTGTGTTAACACTAGCTGACGATTAAGAAAAACTAACTTGATTGGTGAATTTACAAACAATAAAACAAATTTTCACCACGTGTTCCGCGTTGAACGAAAGTCCGCACTTTTTTTCCGATTAAAGGACCGCAAGAATTAGCTACACGTGTTGGGGAAAAACTGTGTCGTCATCGTTACGATTAATTTTCATTAAACGAAGGCTTCCTCCCTTTTTATTAACTGCCAAACCAACTAATTTTAAACTAGCTCTTACCACGTGTTTACATTCACAAAAACACATTCAGACTGACGCTCCGCCATGCCGCCCTCTGTCTAACCATATGTATGTCTAACCACCAACCCTCTAACTCAAATCCCCCTCGCTCTACAAACTGTCCAACTATCCTGCAAGCGTTACCGTGCACCTGGTTGCCTATGTTTAACGATTTATGGTTGAATTATTTTTTGTTCTTTCTCAAATTTAAATTATTCAAACGTGATTTCGCGCCGCTGTTAATTAATTTCAGCGCGAAAATTTTAATTTAAATTCGGTCACCACAGTACTTGGTCTAGAAAATTGCGTAAAAACTTTGAATCACATTTATTCATGTACGGTAGGTCGAAAACATATTTTTTAATGATTATTGATTATAAATCGTTTATTTTCATCTCTTTGCTTTAATAGATTTACGGCAATAGCATAATTGTTGTTGTTCGTTTTGAGACTTTCTAATGTTTTTCTTGGTTCGTCACCTAAACACGCTATATTTTTAGAATCTTTCTCATAGATTTCGGACAGCAGAAGTCACTTCTGGCCTCATTTCTGGGATATCTCCAACCGTTTTTCCAGAATCGTCCGGGTGGGGAGGGGCAAAACAGGTTCCCCGGCAAAGGCACAAACATAACCCTCCGCCTTGAAACAATTTTAATACAATACTAACAATCCATTTTCAAAATTTAAACTACATATATAAAATATGACGATAACCTGTTATAAATAATACTAACAAATACAGAGGAACTTTTATTAAATTAAAAGAAAAAAAGTCGACTTAGTATTAGATAAGCATTGGGTTGGGGAGTATCCTGCAACAACAACCATTGTTTGTTAAAATTCTTGTCACGCTATTTTGGGCAACAGTCATATTTGTTCTACCATATTTAGGAGTGCATAAGCTGGTGCGATCATTTTTGAGAATGTCGTACTTGTTCAAAGTGCCTCTTGTTTTTGGACTATCATTCTCCAATTTTTTTGATAAATTTTTGTTTAGGGTGATTTTGTTAAATCTACTTTTTGTGCTACAGCTACAGGTACAGCACATTTTCCTTATTCTCTGCGGGTTGTTCTAACAATTGACTAAGTTTGTTCATATTCTGGTCATGATCTTCTTGGTACGACAAAAATGTTTGTTTTAACGCATTCCATTGTCTTTGGTCCTCTTGTATTATTTTATTATAGATAACATGTCTTTGATCACATTCATTTTCTTCACATTTTCGCTTTCGGAAGCTTTAATTGTAGTATTTTCTAATAAGGTACAAACTGAATTTAATTAACTGCAAAATGTAATGATTTCCTACCTGAATGGTTAAATTTTAACCTCTATTTTGGTACTGGAGTTGTCAAAACCTAAAAAATCCAACCAATATTTCTGGGTGTAATGTGGTTTTTCGGAGTATGATTTTGCAAATTAATTTTGAATCTGTAAAACCGAATGCTTTGAAATCTTGCAGATGGTTTACAGTTATGATAAGCATGATACATTTTTAATCAAAATATATATGTACTTATCCCCTCCAAAAAATTGAGGACGTTAGCTCAAAAGTTTGCCAAATATGAATCTGTATTTATGATTTATGATTCCATTCATATTTGTTGGATTTGCATATACAGGTTGGCTCAAAAAAATTAAAGAATGCGTGAATTTATTTTATTGATTTTAATTTTAGATGTTTTAGATGTTTTAAAGTTATCATAACCATGATAAATTTTTAGTCAAAATGTATCTGCTCATTCCCCCTAAAAAATTGATGACGTCACCCCAAAATCTTGCTGAATAAGTCTTATCTAAAATGATACAGTGAAAACGTTTTATTTAGATCTCTAATACGTTTATAGCAATGTACGTGAACTAGTGGAGTCATTGTTAGGCAAATTATCGCCAATGGAAAAATTAGGAGACTGAGACAGGCAAGAAGAACTTAAAAGAGAACTGGATAAAAATGTACTGTATGCCTCTACTACAAAACCAGAAACATCAGCTTTAAGATTGTTGATTATATTCAAATGGAAGATGCATTTATTATAGTCCCAATAAGCGTGGGCGATGTCATCATCGTAGAGATTAGCTTTGGTTTGGATGCTCGCACAATTTACACATTTTAAGGCCTGACTATAATAATAATGTTTCACATCGTGTTTTTCCGAGCAGCGTGGACAAATTATATCTTTTTTGCAAAATCGGCTAGAATGATTGTACCCGTTACATCTAAAGCAGAGCAAGACATCAACAGCACCATAAATACCACAGCACGCATTAGACAATGCTTGGCATCTAAAGAATTTTGTCAACTTGCAAAATTACTTGAAATAAATCTGATTTATTTTTTAGAAGGCTGTATTTTACAATTTGGCAGTGACTATCACAAGAGAAAATAGATCTATTTTGTTTGGTTAGATAAGAAACAAGAATATCTTCGCTGATATTATTAGAAAACCAGCAATACGAAGACGCGGTAAAGGGTACTTTGCATCGCGAATTTCCTGAAGTATATTATTTTCTTATTTTTTATAATATTATTATTATTTTTTTTTATTATATATCTTTGCACTCTTTTAGTACTTCTCCTAGAGATCGTATCCTGACGGCTACTGCGATACTTGTACGGACGCACACATCTAAAAAACAAGAAGCGTAAAGTCTGATGGTGAAGAAAAACATACATACGTTTAAAAATAGTACCTAGTATAAATAACTGCACCACACATTAAATTTCCTATGCGCTACTCTTGTGTCATTTCTTGTAAACTGGAGAGCATAACTATAGCCACACCTGCAATTTTCAATTTTTTAGTCGCTCAGCGTAATTTTAACTTAATGAAACTTACAAGGGTGATAAAACAGGCGAAAATTATAAGCAAGAAGTGGATTTGAATTTATTTATGAACAATTAAAATAACTTATTAAAAAAAAAATAAAATTGATTGCATAATTATAACCCCATATTTGTTTTTTTAAGAAATACGAACGAAAGATTGATAATTTAATAATGGGTTGGTCCACAATTTTTTCTAATTACCAACTTAAAAAAAAAGAGTTTGAACTTTTTTTTTTTCAATAAAACCCTACCAGCTCTAAATTCCACTCTCTTAAGACATAAAAAAAATAATAATAATAAATAGGACGTCAAATCTTGTCGCTGTGACCCGTAGTGATCAAAAAACAAGTAGAAATGTTGTGGATTTTAAATGTCATTTCTAAGGAAATTGTCTAACTTATCTCCTATTTGGGATCGGCGGTAACTATAGCTGTTGAAGCAAGTTAGGCAGTCAAAAATCTAAACTCAGTTATTTAGTTGTTATTCTGAAATTGTATTATTATAATTCACTTGACGAACGCAAACGACTGAAGTGTTTAAGTATACAATTATTCAAAAATAAAATTTTCCACTATCTATACCCCGAATACATTTTCTCGTAGATTTCGGGCCGCAAAAGTTACTTCCGGCTTCATTTCTTCGATAACTCCAACCGTTTTTCTAGAATCCACCGTTGAAAAATAGAAATTTTTAGAAATTTTCAAAAATTTTGTATTTCACACCGATTCTTTGGAAAATATTGTTCCGTGACCATAAACACGCTATATATTTGGGATCTATATCCCTGAATTTTTTGCAAAAATTTAGATGCTCGGATAATCATGGGTTTGGATTTCGGAGGTTATACTGTAGTACCAGTGATAGTACTGGTTACCACAGACTACATGGTTACTTTAATTTCTTCGTTAACTATATATACAAGAACATTTTCAGTGATTTTAAATACCCAACCTTGAAACTAACGTATGATGTAAAACTGTCGTCATGTTAATTTCTCGATTTACTCGCCAAATCGCCATCCATTATGTTATTTTGGTCGTCTGGCGTTAAAAATACAAGTAATCGCGAGTGTCGTCGTCTAAAAATAGAGGATTTTTAGAGGACGGCGTATTTTGCGAATATTCATCAGTAAATAATGACATCTGGTTGGTGTTTTGCGTTGTTGGTCGCCGTGTCGCAGTTGTTCGTTACGGCCCTGTTTGAAAGTGACAGTTGGTATTATTTTTATAACCAAGAGACGTCGACTTTTTTAAGTTTGTTAACCTGACTAAACAGTTTTTGGGGGTTCTGGGCTCTGTCCAAATAATCAGAAACGTATATTTAAATGTACTATTTAAAAATGTAACCTAATTTACTCTAATTCTACAAGAAAACATGATTTGGAGGTGAAGAAGTATGACCAGTGGATTTAGAAAATGAGTTTCTTTCTTTGTTATAAATGTAATACTAACCAGGAAAAGATCGTAGAATTAGACTATTCTCGCTGCGGAATTTCAGAAGTGCCTGTTGATGTATACAATAATTCGCCAACGTTGGAAGTATTACATCTGGAAGGGAATAAAGTGAGTATCTGTGTTTGTTTGACGGTTTCGATAACCCCACTTTTAGCTTAAGGATCTCTCACCCCAGTTATTTCAATGCATCGATTTGAGGTATCTGAATGTCAGTGATAACGAAATTCGCTCCATACCGCCGCTAATCTCCAAATTGAACAGTCTGCAAGTTTTAATTTTTAGTAAAAATGGTGAGGTTATGTTCTGGGTGGTGCCCATTCTAACCTTGTTGTAGCCCTAGTTTTGGAAGGAGTTTCACCAAATATTGATAAATTAAACAAGTTGACGATATTAGACCTGAGCATGAATGATTTAGGAAAAGTCCCGGAAGCCATTATGAGTTTGATTAATTTGCAACAGCTGTGCTTGAATGATACAGGAATTGATTATGTGCCTGCCAATATTGGACGCCTTTCTAATTTACGCATATTAGAATTAAGAGACAACGGTTTAAGAGAACTCCCTAAGTCCATAAGACGGTTGACAAACTTGCAGAGATTAGATGTTAGTGATAATAACTTATCACAACTGGTAAGTGTAAACGATTTGTAAATTTCAATCTCATTGTATCAATTTTTAGACTGAAGTGTGTGAATCTCATGGAAATTTGACTGAATTGTGGATTAACGGGAATAATATAACCAAATTATCGGCTTCTATTACTCATTTGAAAAAAATTAACGATTTTGATGCTTCTTATAATAATTTACAGACCATACCAAAAGAAATAGGTCAATGGACCAAAATAACAAACTTAATTTTAAGCTTTAATCAGATATCTGTGCTGCCAAAATCTATAGGAAATTTACGAAATTTACAAGTGTTAAAACTAGAGTCTAATAATTTAGAGGAACTGCCAAACACAATAAGCAAACTCACCAATCTGGAAGAACTCAACCTCCAGAATAATTTCATCACCAAACTACCATCAGGAATCGGACATTTGAGAAAATTGGCCACGCTCATTCTATCAGACAACAAGTTAGAACAGTTACCACCAGGTAAGCCATTCGTAAAAACGCAGTCATGTGTATAGTCGGTCGTCAAACATGAACAACACCAGACGATCGACTGTACACTTGACGTCATTTTTCATCTTAACCACCTCATTGCACAGAAATTGGGAGTTGTTGCGCCCTCACCATACTCAACGTGCACAACAACTACCTACACAAACTCCCTGATGAAGTTGGCCACTTGCAAAAACTAACGACTCTCGGCCTTATCGGCAACAAACTCGAGTACCTTCCGATCACAGTATCAAAACTGACCAATCTAAAAGCACTGTGGCTCACCCCAAACCAAACTCAACCATTGGTAAATATCCAAAGATCGTCAGCCCCTCTCTGAAGCGTTTTTTGTAGATCCACTTACAAAACGAGCAACTATCTGACGGCCAAGTCGTATTAACCTCAGTTCTCTTTCCGCAAGTCCCCCTTCCCGAAGCCCCGCCCTCCGTGCACCTCCCCATAAGCAACCAAACCTATCACATCAGCTTCAACATGGATAATATTCCCACTGAAGCGTCCCTAAGCCGCACCCCGACCCCCCACCATAAGGAGTTGCGCCGCCTCCGGAACATCCTCCGCGGGAGCGACCCCTCCGAAACCCAACCCCCGAACATTTCTGAGATAAAAGAAGCCAAAGTGACGCATATTTCAGGCGATTTGTCTGTTTCTCAATCTAGTTTGTTGGATAAGAACGAAGATCAAGTGGTGGAGGCGTTGGAGGTGTTGGAGCGAGCTACGCGGGAGGGCGTGGCCATTTATAAACCGGTCAAGGGAAAGGACTCGCCGTGCACAGATGACACGCCCCCGAAACAGCCCCCGCCCTATCACATCGCGGCGGCATACTCAAAAAACGCCCATTTGTTCGCGCAGTTCTGCCCACCTAGCCCGCATGACCAGCCCAAGCAATTCAGTCAACAACAACCACCAAATATCCATCATCCGACGCCGAAATTCGCTAAGAACAGGTCAGAACAAATCGTGGACTACTACAAAGATGGCGGAAATGACCCAAAGAGGACGAAATGGCCGTTCGGGACCCACCAGATTTGTAAGGTGATTGAGGTGGAACTGGTAGGGTATAGGGTGCTGGGGGATTTTCAGATAGTGGCGAAAGGCGACGTAAGTTGATGATTTTGTGAAGGTTGAGGTTATATTTGAGGTTTTAGGGGATTTACGTGGATCAAGTACATCCAGCAGGCGTTGCGTACCAAAAACTGATACCAGGAGACAAAATTCTCAGTTTTGACGATGTCGATTTTACGGTTATGGATTCTCATGCTGCTTACGAAATTGCCTACCAGAAAATCGGGCAGGTTAAAGTTGTAACAGTTTCACGAAAACAAGTATCTTGACAGAAAGTATTCTATTTTTAGATTAGTTATGCATGCCTAAAACTTCTCTAATATTAAATTAATTGATTCTATGAGGGAGTGATTGAGTTGTCATTCACGTGCATTTAACATTGGTTAGTGTTACCTCATGTTTGTTTTTATTATTTAACCAGAGGCTGTGAATTAGGTTAAGTTAATGTTAATAACTCAGAGTATTTGTTATTTATTTATACATGACATGTACGTAGCTAGCTCTCTGTCTAACTTTCTATTTGACTAAATTCTTACTTTTTTATATTTCTAAAATAAAAATGTGTATCTTCATGTGGTGATTTTTATTTACAACCCCCACGTTCGGCTAAATAATTGGATTTTTAAATTTGTTAGGAGGGATTTCGTTTCTTTAAGTTAGTGACATCTAGTGGAAACAGTCGCAGCTTAAAAAATCATTTCGATAGTGGTGGCGACATCTTTGATTCTTTTATGATAATAAAAAAAAGACAGTGATATTTTTTTCTCTTCATAATGTTAATTTCTCGTATTACTAACCAAGATTTGCTTATTTTCTTCATTACAAATATTCTGAATATTAAGTATTCCTTTACGGTCTGAGTAAGTTTGTGAGACTTTTTATATTGTTTGTGTTTGTTAGTTATGGCGGCTACAGATGGCGCCATTTCGTGCGATGGCGCTCTAGTGCGTTATTAAATGGCTTCTCTGTGTACATTACTGCGTCAGTATGTTGCAAATTTGAGAATTTAGATCTATTAAACAACGCCCAATTTGAAACCGAGTGAAATAAAAGTGCAGTGCAATGGTGAAACAAAGCAACTCCATAAAAATGTCGCCGAAATGTATTAAAATATACAAATTTCGGTCAAACTATTATGGATAATTGAGTGTTTTGTCAAAATGGTGGGTGTTTGTTATTTGGCTACGATCATTATTTACATCATTAGTTCAACGAGTTGCACTAAAACGAAAGATTGTCCAGAGATTTGCGATTGTTTGGGTTATTACGTCGACTGTTCTTCGAAAAGACTGGAAACGGTACCGTCGAGCCTGCCAAAATGGACCACTCACCTGTAAGCTGCCTTTTGTTTACATCATTATTACTTAATTTTAATGACTTTTTGACAGCTAGTGTAATAAACTCTTGCATCCTAAACACATTCCGCTTGTTGTTGTTTCAGTGATTTACGTAATAACACTATAAAAAACCTAACCGACGGTGTGTGGACAAATTTAATTAAATTAGCTGAGCTCAAGTTGAACAAAAACGATATTTCCGTTATACCTCCAGACGCGTTCAGTTTTCAAAAGCAGCTAATTATTCTGTAAGTGCATCACGATTCACGAATTCACACAATTTTCATCCAATCAGAAAATCACAAACATAAGAACGACCGCTGATTGGGTTGAATTCGCGAATTTAGGAATTCACCACCAATCAAAACAATCGCGCGTTTTGATTGGTCCGAATCTACAATTACGTGAATTTTTAAATTCTTTGCTGTTTGCACCTTCCCTGCGTCATCGTTATCACTATTTACTGTTTTCTTTTTAGTGAGCTTAACCGGAACCACTTAAAATACATCGATGCTTTAACTTTTAAGTCATTACAACATTTATTAGTATTGAAACTGAGACGAAACCAAATAAAACAACTTAAAGATGGAGCTTTTTACGGTCTACAAGCTATCGAAAAATTGTAAGTACATTGATTTGTTGTTTCGTAAATGACGTTGTTGTTTTTAAGAATATTGGATTATAATAATATACAAGTGATTTCAAAAGGGTGGCTTTATGGTTTAGATACTTTAAAAGAACTGTCTCTTAGTCATAATAAGATGAATTCCATTGAACCTGACGCTTGGGAATTTTGCAAGGAAATGACCATTTTGTAAGTTGGTGTCGCTAGAATACGACAGAACTAAGATTTTATTTGCAGAGATTTGTCAAACAACAAACTAGAATCCATTGCAGCTAATACGTTTAAATCCCTTGGTGATCTCCAAAAATTAGTATTAAGTAACAATAATATAACTTATATTGAAGAAGGGGCCTTTAGTCATTTGCCAAACTTGAAGTTTTTGTAAGTATATCGATATCAGAAGCAAATTTATAATATTTTCATTATGCACGTCGTATATTTGTGGCCGGTGTATATTTTGGTATTCCATTCCCGCTGTACCTCGCCAGTAATAGATAATTATGAGTCATTGATTTAACTTGTCTTCACCTAACGCACAGACACACCGACGCTCATATGAGAACTATGTAACCTTTCCTTCGACGATTCTAATTACCACAATTTATAGGCATTTAAGTAACAATAAAATTTCCTGGACGATCGAAGACGCGAACGGCGTGTTCCAAGGTCTTGGCAACTTAATGAAGTTTCATGTCTCAGGAAATAACATCAAGTCCATAAACAAGAACGCTTTCGTCGGCTTAAAAAACGTAACTTATTTAAATTTGAACAACAACAATATTACCTCGATTCAGAAGAACGCCTTTGCTGAAGTGCCTTTACTTTCGGTACACACGTGACACTTGCTTACTTTGCGATGAGTAATACGCATTTTGTAGGACTTTATATTGAACACCACTTCGTTGCTTTGCGATTGCAATTTACGTTGGTTTTACGAATGGTTGAACGCTAAACGATTTAAAATTCGCGCCATCTGTGCTTACCCTGATTGGTTGCGAGGACAATCGTTGTTGGATGTACCCACGGCCAACTTCACTTGCGGTACTGAGATCAATTTTTTTGTGTGAGTGTGTATAATGGAAGAATTTTAGATGATCTTCCAAAACCCAGGTTAATCGAAGAACCCGAACCTGAAATAATGGCGTTGAAAGGGGAAAACATAAGTTTGAGTTGCACCGCAATGTCTAGCTCGAACAGCGTCATGACGTTCCAGTGGAAACGAGATAACGTAGAACTTTTGAACATGAACATCGTATCTAATTCCAGTTTTGACGGTAAGACGACGGAAGCGATGTCCAAATTACACATTTTTCGAGTGCAGCATTCCAACGCTGGGAAATACCAGTGTGTTGTGTCCAACATTTACGGGACTACGTACTCGCAGAAGTCCAGCATTTCCGTACTAAGTAAGTTCGTTCATGCGCGTTTCACACAATATAATTGTCGTTCTAGTCTTTCCAACCTTTCTTAAAATCCCTGACAACGTGACGGTGAAAGCGGGAGAAGTAGCGCGATTGATTTGTGCGGCGTACGGGGAGCCACAGCCCGAGATCGCGTGGCAGAAAGACGGAGGAAACGACTTTCCGGCAGCTAGGGAGAGACGGATGCATGTCATGCCAACTGACGACGCTTTCTTCATAACGAAAGTGAAACCCAGCGACATGGGTGTATACAGTTGCACGGCACACAACGCAGCAGGAACAATCGTGGCGAACGCGTCCTTAACGGTACAAGGTAAGCGTAAATGGCGCAGTCGATAGGATCGCTACAATCACGATCGGTTGCAGAGAAACCTTCCTTCGTAAAGTCCATGGAGAATAAAGAAGTGACCGCTGGAGAGTTGGTCGTGCTGCAGTGTATGGCCAGCGGTACTCCCAAACCCACGATCACGTGGTACAAAGACGGAGAGCCAATCCGGGCGACCGAGCGGCATTTTTTTACCGCGGAGGATCAACTTATGATCATCGTGGACACCGTTCAGGCCGACTCTGGCAAGTACGAGTGCCATTTGAACAATTCTTTGGGTGAGAAGACCGGTTATAGCCATCTTCGCGTGAAACCAGGTAACGAGGGTCGCTTGTAGTTCTTAGGTAATAAAAGTAGGTTTCGTTATAGGAAATTTCACCACGACTGATATGATGGGTATTATAATAATAACGGTAGTGTGTTGCGCCGTGGCTACTTCGATCATTTGGGTAGTGATTATTTATCAGACGAGGAAGCGACTGGCTCCAGCCGCTGCCAATTCGCAACCAGAGGGTCCAGTGATGGAGTTTAACGATAAGGGCGTCGTTCAGTATAAAGATAACGTGTCGGATCGGTCTTCGTGCAAAGATAGTGGTACCGGGGACTCGGCGAAGAGAAGCAACGACGACTTGGTACCAGAGGAGTACAATTTGATAATAAACGAGGAGACTTCCCCGCATAGATGGAGCGTGATACGAGTAGCGAGTATGGCGTATTTACCTACGGATTCCGCCAACTCGAACACGCCGCTTCTGACGCACTCCCCGTACGCTCGATCGACGAATCACGATCGAGCTGAAACGAGCGACGAAAAGTTTCAGCAACCAGCAACGGAGCCAAATACTGACGACAAGTAAGCTGGAAGTCAATTTCCTATTCAATGGTACAAGAAGAATGTATATACTTTGTATTTTTTAGTTCCTGTTTTTAGAGTTAATTTTTTGTTTTTTCTTTAAGATTTGACTGTTTAAGGGCGTCGTTGCAGTTTATTTATAAATTAACGTTAGTTTTTGATTCGGAGCTACATATGTTTCGTGTTGTTGATCGTGACAATAAATTGACTAACTTTAGATGTACGTAAACGCGGATGTTCGAAACCAAATGAGAGATTCATACCAAAGCATTTTGTGATGCGGTAAAGACCGGAGGCCTTATCTTTTAAATAAATACAAATATTTTTCTAGGGATATAATAACGAAATTATACAATTCCATTTAACACCAATTGTTGCGTCATGTGTAGCTTCGAAGTGATCGTCCCAGTTTTAATTACTTTAAAAATTCCCGTGATATTATGTTAAGTCGACATAATTTTGTATATTAACAAAGTTTTATTAGTATACTGCCCATTGAAAGTATAATTCCTGTAGATACTATGAATTATTGCAGTTGCAAGTATTGGAAAGTGTTCGTGTTGAATGTGTTTATTTATTGATGTATGCGTGTTGTGTGGATGTTGTGGAATATTGTTTTTATTGTGTTATGAGCGATTTATTTTATTAACACGATTTTTGTTAATACGTTTTAAATTTATGGTATTCGATAATTTTTAAGTTCTTATAATCCCACTCTATAGTATTACTAAGTATACCTCATTGTGATTATAATTTTTGTCCAAAATAAAATATGACGTATATTATTAGAGTAAAAAGTTGTTTATTAGGGTTAGTGCGACTTACACGCCCTAGGAACGTAAGACACGACCGTACTAGAACAACCAATAGTAAGCCGCTATTCAGTCACGTGAACCGGAATAACCATTTGCCATTGGTCGTTCCGCTAATCGCGTCTTAAGCTCCGCCTCCACGGACATGTGTTCTTGGATACGCTTTATTTGTAACATATACAACTCAGAGTATTTTAAACAAATTTAATTTTGGGCATGTTAATCGCCATTTTTTCATTAAAAACTTAGACCAGTTAGGGACTTTCAATCATCCTTTATTATCACCTCAAGTTTTAACAAAATAATAAATACCAATTAAAACAAAACAAGAAAAATCAGTCAGTTCTTGGCCTTCTTCAAGGCCCGTGACCTAATATTCTCCATGGTTCTGGTGATCAACCACTTGGAGATGCTCGGCGATAGAGAGTCCAGAGTTGTGACTACCATGACGAGTAACGTGTGCGGGTAGTACCCAGTCGTGCGATCCACAACCCCTATAGTTTTAATAGCCTCTTTGACGAACTTCGTGGTGGAGGGTGCCATCCACGTCGTGGCACGGATTTTGGACATGTTCGTGACCACATAACCAGGAAGAATGCACTGGATCGTGACCCCGAATTTCGAATATTCCGAAGACAAATCCTGGCTGAACTTGTCGACGTACGCTTTCGTGGCAGCGTACACTGTTAGTAACGGACTGGGGATTTGGGCAGCCGTTGACGATAGGTTCACGATGACTCCACGACGACGCTCCGCCATCCCGGGTAAGACGATTTTGCACATATTTGTGACAGAATGTATGTTGCAATTAATTATGTTGTTGTATATTTCGTCTTTATTTTTCAAGTCGAGGAAGTACTCGGGGTGGGGGTAACTCATCCCGACGTTGTTAATCAAAACGCCGACTTCCAAACCCGTGAGCTGCTTGTCGATCTCGGTGTAGATGCGGTCGGTGTTGGTGAAGTCGGCTTCGATTATTTTTGTCTCGATCCCGTATTTTGACACTGAAAATTTGATTTTATATATGTATATATTTTTTTATTTTTATGGAGGTCACCTATGTCTTTGGCTACCGTTTCTAGTTTTTCTCGGCTTCGGCTTATGAGGACCACGTTCAGGCCCGTTTTAGCCAACATTTCGGCGTAGGCCTTGCCAATTCCGTCTGTAGCGCCGGTGACAACTGAAAATTAATTAAGTAAATTTAGCAAAATTATAGCAGTTTTTCAATACACCAGTTGAAAAGTTTTGGGCACTCCAAGGTCAACAGAACCATCAACTTGTATAAAAGCACCGCGCATGTGTGTATATGTTGTATGACATGTATTTATTGGTGACCTTTGGATACAATCGAGCCATATACACTTTTCGATTATGTAGTGCTTGTGTGACATGAGACCGACATGAACAAACTTTGAACTCGTGATGTGTACGATTAGTAAATCTAGTCGGACGATGTAACAAAGTTGACTATCGAATGATCCGATAAAAGTTTATCACTGTGAGATAACCTCAGTGTCAATAAAAGAGCTCTTGGCCTTTTGACTCACTATGCAAAAAAAATAATTTGGAATTTAGTTTTAGAATATAGTGGAGGGACCGATTTTTCAGAAATAAAAAAAAATACATAATACTAAATAAACTCAAATTTGTTTTTAGTTACCCGTGAACTTGTATTGACTAAACATGATTGTTTCCCTTTATAGTTTTTGGTATTTGATCAACAGTAATAAAAAGAGTCAAAATTACCCATAAAGCAAGCATACGTGACAAGTTAACGTCAAATTTGTTTGTTTTTGTGCCGACGTAATGCTAACATAAAACAATACAATTGCATTTCTCGCTATATTAAAACATGCGATTTCCGAGAAGTTACTAAGTCGAGACTGCCACTCGGGCGAATTAAATTTTGAAACAAAATGTACAAAAAATTGTATATAATTTAAGTCGTGACTTTCACCTAATTGTAGCTGAAATTTTGCGCTTATATGAGCAGATAGACCACATATTGTACATAGTTGATATCTTTACATACATATATTTGATTTATAAATGTGGCTCAACCTTTCTGGAAGTAAAAAATATGCTTATCTTATGTGCATATTTTTGTTTTCATTTATTTTTTACGGTTATTTTGACCATGCTATATTTTTTAATCACATTTTAAAATGCAAGTGTGTCAGTTATTTCCACACAATTTTCTGCCGTATAAACAAATTCCTATTGTGTCGCCAACATTTGAATGTTTCAATAGGATTTATTAAAACAGTAGGTGAGTTGATTATTCAACATTCAGGGTTACTGATATTCTTATCATACAACCGCCAACGATACATTAAAGTAGGTATATGTGCAAAAAGGATTGTGACTTCTATATTTAGAATTGCTTTACAGCTAATCAAAAAATAGTAATAATAATAATAATAAAAATTAGACACTTACCGGCCCATCGTCCGGCGTCTTTCAGGTCCACAGCATTGATTTTCAAATTGACCGCAATAAAATTATTGTAGAAAAATCTGAATAAAAACCTAACTACCTGAAAGCCTAAAATCGATATGCACACCAGTCCGAACTTTTCTAAACTCGTGAACATTTTAGGTCTTTGTGTGTATTTCGGAGCTCTAAAAAAACAGTAATATAATTACAAAACACCGATGCGAAATGAAACTATTACTCTGATAACATTGCAGCGTTAAAATGTGGGTATGGATTCGCGCATGCGTGCCACTTTCTCATCCCCTTTCTCGCATTTTTTTCACTCGATCGAGTATGGTCGCGGAGAAAAGAATTGATTACGTTTTCAAGTTCTTTGGGACGACTTTCACACTGACCTCCTTCTCGCGAATTTCTATTCTTCGTGTAACAAGTACCGTAGAGAGCGGAGAGATTGAGCGCAAAACCAACAGATAAAAGCTTATCGATTGAAATGTTTATTCAGAAAGATATTTGTACAGAAAATTAGAAGGCGGCGATGCCTGTCACCGTGCGACCCAAAATCAAAGCGTGGATGTCGTGGGTTCCTGAAAAATTCGAAATGTTTTTTCAAAAAGTGGGTAATTTTTTTGCGATTTACCTTCGTAGGTGTTAACGGACTCCAAATTCATGACATGTCTGATGACATGATATTCATCGTGTATTCCATTTCCACCTAACATATCTCGTGCAACCCTGGCGATTTCTAGAGCTTTCCCTGCGTTGTTCCTCTTCAACAATGAGATCATTTCGGGGGTGTGCCTACAAAGGGTTGTTATTTTCGCCTTCACACACTTTAAAACCTACTGTTTTTTATCCATAAGCCGCCCCACTTGGAGACAACCGTGCAACCCCAGCGCGATGTCGGTAACCATATCCGCAAACTTCTTCTGTATTAGCTGGTTAGCAGCCAGAGGTTTCCCAAATTGTTTTCGTTCCAGAGTGTAGTTTCTGGCGATGTTGAGGCAAGTTTCCGCCGCTCCTAACGCACCCCATGCGATCCCATACCGAGCATTATTCAAACAACTGAACGGCCCTTTCAACCCTTCGACTTGCGGTAAAAGGTTACTCTCGGGAATTTCAACATTGTCCATCAAAATCATCCCTGTGGTGGAGGCCCTCAAAGAAAACTTCCCTTGAATTTTCGGCGTTTCCAGCCCTTTGCCGTTCTCCTTGCGGTCGATCAAAAAGCCGCGGATTTTCCCGTCGTCGCACTTGGCCCAAACCACCAAAACGTCGGCAAGAGGGGAATTCGTTATCCTGGAATTTTTTTTAGTGTTTTACGTTTCTAAGGGGAGAAGCTCACCATGTTTTGCTACCGTTCAAGGTGTAGGTTTTTGACGAGGGGTTGAATTTCGCACGGGTTTCCAAGGCACCGGCGTCGCTGCCATGGTTAGGCTCGGTGAGCCCGAAGCAGCCCATAATCTCTCCTTTCGCTGGTAAAAAACGTAAACATAACGTGAGAAAGGAAAGTTGCCGGTTTTTACGTAACGAGATGAATGTCAGGAGCAAGGTTCCGTTGTGACACAGAGAGAAAGGAAGCTATATTATTATTTGTAGCTGGATTTTCAACATCACTCCCGAGGGGGCATGAAACCAGACTGGGAAATTTTAACAAAAAATGTGGAACTGACACACCGATTATTCAATAATGCATGGATATAACTTATACCTAATTTCGGTAAGTAAGCCTCCTTCTGCTCTGGCGTTCCGAATTGATATATGGCACCCATGACCAAAGATGATTGAACGCTGATTGCGGATCTGTACGCGCTGTCAATTTTTTCCACTTCTCGGGTAAGCAAACCATATCCTACATTCGAAATGCCCGCGCAACCATATTCTTTGATTGTGCATCCAAGGACGCCCAATGCACCGAACTCTGTCATAATTGCACGATCAAAATCTGTTTAAAAAAAATAAATAAGCGACATCTATAGTTATCGACGCAGACTAGACGAAGTTTACTTTCGTTTCTGTTTGCTTCTAAAATTCTAGGTTGTAGTTTTTCTTGACAGTACGCCCTAAATGAGTCCCTCACGATTCTTTCATCTTGTGTTAGCTGGGATTCAAGATTGAGAGGATCTTCCCAGTTGAATAGTACTGGAAGCAGTAAACAAGTGATACGTTATCTCTTAATCAAGAAGTGTTTTGTAATTATTTTGAGAGATTCTCACCTTTGGCTGAGGACTTGTCGGAGAAAAACCCTGTGGTCGTTAAGTTAAGAAAATTTTTGGCAATTTTCTGAGTTCGTTTTCAAAAAGGATACTTTTGGCGGTTTTTGAACATATTCCTCGAATATTTATTCTTCCTAGCGACATCTTTCCGTGGCAACAGGTGCACTATAACTGACAAGATTCAGTGAGCCATCTCGCGCAATCACAGTCTTATCACAGAAGTGACCTTTACTAACTATATTGATTGTGGTTAGTGTCGAAATGAGTTAAGTCGAAAAAGTTAAATATAAATTCGCATGTCGTGCTAACTGTCCATGCAAATTCCGTAATTACATTGCATTCTACTGAATGATAAATTGCTACTTACCTAAAAATTACGAAAATGCTACCGATTACGGTTAGTTATGTTTTTACAGCAGTCCAACATTCACCACACTAAGTTCCTATTTTTAAATTTGTCGAGGTTATTCAATGCTAATGCAGTTAAGCCTTAATTTTAATATAAATATTTGGACATGAATTGGCGTTTTCAGTAGTGAAAAAATCGCTATTCTTATCACAAATCGAACGTTGACCTTTCTTAATGTTAATTCCTTTGAAGAAATTCAGGCTAACTTCGTATTGATCAGAATATCGCGTGTTGCAAAGTGGACGTTAAAAGTTAATGCCCGTATTATAACAAAAGTTAACACAAAAGTCCTACTAGACGGGAGTATAAATATACTCGAGGTGGCAGTTCTGCAGAAGAAATATTCGGCGCATATTAGCCTCAAGAGAAAATGAATAATCCCTTGAACCCGACGACTTTCATTTAAGTAGTTCTGCGGTTGATAACAAAGTTCTGACAAAAGGTGGGCTTTGAAAATAATAAATGGTCCCAGGGGACTGGCGTACAAAAAATCTGAGCTATAGTAGTATCCAGAAATTACATTTAATGAGTCCCTTCGTTTTACAACACGCTTGAGGCTAGACGCAACTTTCCTAAACAAAAAAGGTCAAACCTGCGGCTTGTCCACCCACTGACACCAAACTCTCTCTCATAACCGCGAGGTTCCATCAAAAGAAACTTCAAAAACGCCTGAATATCCTTTGGTGTCACTTTTTTTTTAATTTTTCTGAACATGATTCACCTGTTAGCTACAGAAGCTCCTGTTTTTGCGAAAAGGAGACGATTTGTGTCAGTTTTCGTGTTTCGCGAGTGTGGAAAATGTTCGTTTTGTAGCTTTCAGCACCCGATTGGCTGAGAAAAACCCAAAAGGTATTCATACTGTAGCTAGAAATCTGTTTATGTCTGAATTTATAAGAATTGAACTACTTTGGAGTTCCTTCTGCGCATTTCCGGTAACTAGATTCAACTTTTGGGAAAAGGAGACGATTGATGTAAGTTTTGGTGTTCTCGCGCTCAACGAATTCGTTCAGAAACTAAGAAAACGATGCATAATTTGTTTTTCACTTTTCTTAAAAAAAAAACAGCCTTCCTCCTAGACTTCTTTATTCAAAATTTATAAACGTACATTAAGACGACGAAAATGTGGAAGTTGAAACGCAGTGTAACCATAAAATTGGTCATTTGGAGCCTCTTGGAAGAAATTAGACCAGCAGCACGTCATCCTTTTTTTCGTCGACGTCGCCGGAAATCGCATGCGTTTTGACTTTAATTTCCGACCAAAAATACCCACACGCGCTGGTACAAGGGATGATAATAGCGTGTGCGAAGACCGCTACGAAATTTCTGATGGAGGCACAGGAGATTTTCCAGACTCTGAGAGTAGGCGTCCTGCACCAAATTTGCTGCAAGCGAAAAATACATACGTGCGGTACACACGCACCATAGTTACCTCAAAGGACAAGCATGCGAACGTTATTCCGAGGCAAAAAGCCGTGACCGGGGCGCAAACTACGGACAAACAAACGTAGCAGAAATTCTTGGAAAGTTTGAAACACTGGTTGCTGACGGACCACGCACATTCGGGGCTGCGGATGGAGGCGGGCTCCCCTATGACGTCTTCCCACGAAACCTTGGAAAATGTGCCGATTTAACCCTTTGGCAAGCCGAAGAAATAAGTTAGTGAATACCTGCAGGTGCTGATTGAGCTTGTTCGGGTCTCGGTCCTCCAGGTCCATCACGTCGCTGGGTTCTTTTGCCATAGCGGACTGTGAATTGGGAGAGCTCGCGGAGTTTCGAGGGAAAATCGCGCTCAATTTTTTAAAGGGCATTTACGCGCTGCAGTGGTGAAAACAACTGGCCATTATCAACACCCCCGTTCAACAATCAACAAGTTTCTTATACGCCGGCGTTGGTCACTCTACGAGGAAAAATATTGATTAGGCTAACTTTATTTTGGGTAATTACATGTAACACACTTTTCATAAAATTAATTAACTGCATATGGTAAAGCAGGAAGCTTGTTTAAAGGACGCAATTATGCCCACTAGCAAACAGTGTAAGTATGTGCGTTTGATGATTAAAAATGATTAAAAAGTACGCACGTGCACATGTAGCGTCCAAAGTACACGTAAATTGTAATCCTTTCCCTCGGGAGCCATTTTTTGTAAAAATTATAACTTCGGAAACTGTCGGCGCTGGAGAAGATGAATAAACCCTGGCCCTGAGGATTAACTTATAAATGTTGTTCATGGTCGTTTGTAATTGGGAAACGGCGTGGTGAACCTGAGGAAAAAAACAATAAAAATTAGTCTACCCAAACACTCTCTACATGTAGGAGCCATGGAGGGTGGTCCGGTCGCCTTTCCGCGGTTAGACATCACTGCCTAGAAGCTTTTCAGTGCTTTTCTTGCATCCAACCCAACCCTATTTCCTTCCAGGACCAACACCCTATGTGGGTAGGGCTCACTCAGAACCTTTCAAGAAAGTTTATGCCAAGCCCTGATTCAGTTTGCGTCACTTAGGACAGCGTGTTAACTGAGTTGCCTTACAAAAAAATTTCATCTATATGTTGAACGCATACTTTAAAAACTAAGGCGCTGAGGGTTAAAAATGCTTGAGAAGCAAAACTCATCAACCTAGCTTAAAATAATTTAAAGTTCTGTGATTATTGTTTTTAATTATTGCGTACTGCGGCATTTCGTGTTCGTGTTGATCAAACAATTTGTTTTATTCGTTTTTAAAGCTTATATTACCATACAAATGAGCTTCGTAGAAAAAAAAGTGCAAATTTCACCCTAGCAGTAGCGGGAATTTTGATGAATCATAGTCTATGTATTATGTGTTGCATACATAAACTGTGATTTTTGTGGAGCAATAATTTTTTTCGTAAGAGGAAGTTATTAAAAACTCGTGACACGATAAAATAAATGAGTTTACGGGATTCTTATCAATAATGTAACCACAGAGATATGGTATTTACGTAATTATAGGTGTGTGTTTTTCGGTTGACGTAAGAATAGTCTTAGACGCAAACCGTTCGCCTATGAATAATTTTGACTACTGGACGCCAGATGTCGCTGTCACAATCGTGCACTTTTTTAAAATTAGTGAAGACGAAGTGAAATAATTAAGATAAGGTAAACAAATGTAGAAATATTTTACTGAAATAATTAATACGTAAATTAGTTGAGGAATTGTGAGTTTGTTGGGAAACATGAGACCGCACGTGCAACGATTAGTTTTGCAACGAAAATTTGTAAACATATTTACCATTTTAAAAAAAGCATATTTACGTCTTTAACAAATAAAAGAGATTAAATAATTGAGTGTGTTCTGTGAAATTACGTGTTTTGTATGCTTGAATCGTAATCTCTAAAGAAAAATAAAACGTTGAAGGGATTTTTTGTTGACGATGTATAATTTGTATTTTTAACAAGTGATTTAATTTAGGATACTGTTGATTTACCTGGTTTTCGACAACAAAGAAAATTTTCTGGGAAGAGTTTAAAGTATTAGTCATCGTAATTAAATTAATTATTCATGTAATAGCTGGAACTCATCACTCGCCGCTTGATAAAGTAAAATGTCGCAGTCGTTACATAATGAAAATGAATTTATTTTTAGTAAAATGAGAATTTTTGAGATGGAAATACGACGTGTGGTTGGAAGGACAGAGACAATGAAATCCACGTAATAGTTTTTTCGTTGCTCGTGGATATTTATTTATTTGGCACGTTCTGACGGTGTTTCCCGGAAGTGTCATAGATTACATTTTGGCATAATTTCATAATTATGCCGACCGGATCGATTCTATTTAAATGAATTTTTTCACAATATTGCACGTAATCGATCCACAAATAATAAGCTTGGCGATTTTTTTGTCGCGCAGAAAAGCGAAGGACCACGCTCTGGTCAACGAACTGGCCAACTCATCCCACTTCGACTTTTTTATGTAATTTTAAGCAAATCAATGACTTTTCGTTATTTTCATAATCAGTACAAGGTCTTTCCACTTAATAATCATAAACAACCTCGTTTTGACCACACTCAAAAATAATTTGTTTATTTGGAGTGGTTTTGCAAAACTGGCGATTTGTTTATCATTCTAAAGTCTCGATTCGTCTGGCGAAGTGGAATTTCACGGATTTAGGGGAATGTTGGATTTATTTTGATGGCAACTCGAGCGACCAGATGACCGTCGATAGATGTCACGAACGTCGTCTCCGTAGGGAAATTTGGATTTAACCAACCCACCGATTGTCGTGCGTTTAGTGACTCGGGGGGTGATTGCGCCACCCTTTGTGCCATATAAGCAAAAACATTGTCCATAATGTAAAGTGAATAACACACACAATTGTGAAATCCGCGTTACATCACCATCAATATAAAAAATGATCAAATGGTTATGGCGAGAGTAATGACCTTTAATTGCTGATAATATAACAAAACCAAACACACTTATCTAATTTTGGAAGGCGGACTGTGCTATTCAATAGGAGCAAACCTCGGTAAAAAATATAATAAACGACAAAACCCAAAACAAATAAGCCGTTAAAAATAGTCGCGATGAATAAAATATACGTAGTAGAAACGATGCCATTTCTACGTGTCGCGTGACGTCACTTGACGTATTCGAATCCCGAAAACAATTAAGTTTTTCACGCGTCTAAATTTACAACGAAAATAAATTATAAATTGATCAATTCGCCCACCACTAGCAGCGAAATTGTGTTCGGTGTGCTTGTTTTTTGTCCCATGCTTAATTTTGCGAACGAGTCATCAACCGTTTGGCATTGACCAGGGTCGCGACTTATTTGTTTGTTAGTTATGGATTCTTTCCCTCGGTGTATTTTGATGTGGTTTTCTTTGTTTAACGAGAAACTCGCAAGGTTAATTTGTAATCGGCTTAAAATACATGCCGTAACGCACACGATGTAACCTGTAAGCGACTTAAATCGGAAAGACACCATTTTACAGATGCGGCACGCGCGGCGGAAATGCCTCCACGGAGGTTAATAATACTATAAAAATATACACATCACTTCAGTTTCGCGAAAACAATAGAATTAGAATAATGGAAACCAGCAGCAACCTATCAATGATCACTACAAGATACGCGCGTTGACGTTTTGTGTAAAATACTAATGAAACATCATAAGGGCCAAAGCCGCGTGGTGCGGCGATGGTCATCTGGTTACATTGACCGCCAGATTCAATCTCAGTGGGATATCGTACTCATCGTGCTGGTGATTACCGGATAGATGCAGTGAATCTTAAATCATCTGGGGTTAATTTAGGAGCGACTAGGAAGTGATCTGCGATAAACGTGTTAAGGGAGGTTAAAAACGTTGTTGCGCCTAATTGGATTGTCATTTAGATGTTAATAATGGTCGGATATGTCGTGTGTCGAGGTATGGGGAAGGAATTTTCCGGCACACGCCGCCCGTGGCTCTATAAAATAGCCGTCGTTGTGTAACTATCCCGACATTGTTACTTCTTGTAAACACGTGGTTCGGACGGTATCACGTGGCCTCACCAACACGAGGGTCTTAGCCGCACGCGGTCATTCTGCATGGCGCTCAACCTCGTGATCGGATTAAATAATAGACTCAGTTCGCACCGTGTTTTATATAATTTTACATAAATTACATCAACTATGCGGATTAAACGATTTCCATTCTCATATCGTAATAATAAAAACATTACATAAAGATTGACAATCATTCATTTGCATCGTGCCGGCGGTGCTGCTGCCCCTTGAGTAGATACTTTCTTTGTTTATTGGTCGAGTCGAAAACATCCTGCATTTGTGATAATTGATAAGAACGCAACGTTATTGCGTCGTAAAGTCTGTATCAAAATTTACCCGAAAAGGTGGACGCCGTTGTTCCATTTTGCGTCAGAAGCGCACGTTTCGTAATGATCGAAAGTGATGATTCATTTATGGCGATCTGTATCGTTAGTCTTTGTCGTTTCGGATTGTTTTGGAGTTAGTAACGACGATAATAAAATGTTTCTAGCGTGTTGTAATATTGTTGGTGTGAATGATCTTGACGATCGTTCCAAAATCGTATTTTTATCGTGAATAGGCTTCCTCTGACATTCACAGCGCGAATAACATATTTACGTTTAAAATTAATAACAAAAATAACTTATTAAGTAACGCGATGTACAGCGTAATCGAGAAAAGATCACTGGACAGTGGAATATTTCGTATAGTTTGAATTCTGTTATTAGTGTTATTGTCCTTTAATTTGTTCGTTGTTGTCTGCGCGATGTCGGTAACCTCAAGTTATTTGCAAGTAAAATCCTAAGTAAATAAAGGCGAATGTTTTGCATTTTTTATTAGGATTTCTTCACACAAATTACGATGTTACGTCGATGCAATATCAGCGGACTGCACTGGCTTGTTTTATTGACATTATCTCCTCGGTACGTCCACGTGCTTTTGATTCTTATTTTTTAACTACCGTCATATCATAAATCAATTATCCGCTGTTTTTATTTTTATTACGCATATTTACAAAATGTGCTTTATCTATCTCATTCTATCATAGTGTTATCCTTGTGTTTTCAGGTCCACGAGCTCTCATGTTTATATCCAAAAGTTTATGTACTTAAACAACGAGTTCATTATTTTCAAGTTCAATGTCATAAAAAGTCAAAATGCAGAAATCTCAACAGAAAATGCTTCTGACAATCGAAACCACGCAAAGATCAGCTACCCCTAATCTTGCAAAAAGCTCAACAGTTTTCGCAAGAGATTTTCCAGTTGAAAAGTGGACGAAATATTACCGTCAGCGGTTCCGAACCCTACATTTGCGGACCGCCCTCGCTATAATATTGTCCTGTTTTTGTCCACTAAAACTGACCAATTTCAACTCTTCAATGTTACGCGTCCTCGCATTCATTTTTAACTAGTACGACACCAAAAAAACTGAAAAAATTACATAATTCGGAAGTTACTCTATAACGTCGCAATTAATTCGAAGGTTGTTTTTGATCGAATTCTTGCTCTTCGTTTCCGTCTAATTAGCACAGCTGGTCTCAAAAATAATGTGATTCCTATTGCACTGTTAACGACAAGCGGAGCTTGAATGTCAGATGTAATTATTGGCCAAGAGTGTTTGTTTATGTACACACGTTGCAATTTTGAGTGTGAAATATCAAAATAATAACCAATCCACACAAAACGGTTTCCATCAGTCGACATAATGAATGAAGTAAATGTAATATGTAATTAATTTTATTGGATAGCGCAATGCCCTGGAAGTTTAAAAACCGCGAAGGTCGTTAACAGATTTCATAAGTATTGAATAACTTGTTCTATATCGATGCCATTGTATATTAGAATATTAGTACTGAATGTTGCAATAACACAAGTAGTATGTTAAGTTTTTGTTACATGGTGTTGCAAAATGCGACAAGGGTGCACCGAATAGCACGCTCACGAAACACTACAATACTTTACCTAAACGAAAAAAGGATATAAAATGACATTCTTGACATGACCGAGTATAGCATATACCGTTCTCATGATAAATCAACTTAGAC